AGCACGTCAAACTGCAATTCTACAACACATGTAAATATGATGTCAGTAATCAAAAAGTCATTGTTACGAATTTTCTTTAATTTTGGGATACTGGAGTGGAATAGTGCTAGAAAAAAAACAGAGTAATTGACGGCCAAAAAATGACAATCTTACCGATACCAGCTTGACCTGCTACCCAACTGATACGCAAATATAGCATCACACCAAATATGTTAAGAATACACCGTACTAACACTCCTTCTATCCAACCAAATTTTACTCGTGTCTGGAAAGGTTATCAGAGATAGGGAAAAGGTCTGAACGACTTTGCAATGTGGACGATGTTGAAATACCTGCGTTGGTGGCGGAGAAAATTTTTCCATCTGTGATTTCGAGGGTTTATTCTCAATCTGTCCTTCAACTAATTCATCGTTTTGTTTCTGAAATTATAACCAAAATAGAAAGGAAGCAACCATTATGGAGTAAAAAGTCTGCGTCAATACCTTAAATCCCTCAATTTCAATCTCTTCTGGTATGGCGTTTTCCCCATGAATGAGTTGGAGCATCGAGGGTCGAGCAGCTCCACCCCCGTCTCCGATGTCGACGGAGTTCCGATAGAAGTCCATAATTGGTGGATGCTCTATCGTCTTCATGTTGCTGAACATGCTACATTTCTAACAAGCACTCACAACTACCAGACCTACATTTCTGGTCCACATGATTCGTCTACTTCCATTTCTGATTCACTTGCTAAGAATATAAAGTTGCTGACAGTAATTCACCCTAGAATTTGTTCCTTGAACAATTTACTCCACAAGGAAACTTTCTTGAAGGGTTCATCGCAATGACTAACACATTTGATTACCGGCAAAACGGCTACACCAAAAGTACAACATGTTATCCAACAGCTGTACTTTCTCAATTTTCAAGAAAAAAAAACGACAAATCATGAACTTGATTTTGGACGTCAGTAATAAGAAATTGCCGAGATCTTTCGCATATAAAAAGCAGTTGTAAAAAGCCATTCTACACATTGTCAAAGCCGAGTGCATTGGCGGCTATCGACCTACGAAAGGAAATCGTCACAATTTACAAAGCCTTATCCATTACGTCCCATAACATTACGGTGAAGGAACCATTGCAATGTTCGATTTTTTTTTCGCACAGCTACACTAGAGAGGAAGCCA